TTATTTTTGAGACGTGGTTTTACTAGGTTGCTAGGTTGGCCTCAAATTCCTGGCTTCACAGGATCCTCCCACCTCAGCCTCCCAAGTAGCTGGGGTTACAGGGGCTTGTCACTGTGGCCAACACTTAAGTCCTTTATGAAGTGATTCTGTCTGTTGCTGTCACACTTGGGGGTCCTCATTTTTTTTTTTAAACCTGGACTAATGTAGAACACTTGGTTTTCCAGCCTTGTCCTTCCCCCCTTCTCCTGCTGCCAGAGAGACCTAAAATACAAATAGTTCTGCACTTTTCAGACCAGACTTTTCTAGAGGCTCCCCAACCATTCCTAGAGGGTCAAGTTCAGACTCCTTGACGTGAACTTTATAAGCTACCTGCCTTTGGACTTTCACCTTCAGAAGTACAGGGCCATTTGTATTCCTCTGGACCTGTCTGACCAGTGTTTCCCTCTTTAACTTTACCAACACTCTTCCTTCTGCTTAAAATCTTGCCTCATCCCTACCTGCTAAATGTCTTTTTGTTTAAAAATTTAAGTAGTTGGGTCTGCATCTCCTTTGTGAAACCTTCCTGAGCTCTTTGGATAGGGCTCACCACTCCCTCTGAGCTGTCAGTGAACTTGTATCATTTCACTTTTGTATAGTAATCAATTATTCACACGACTCTCCTAAGACCGCGCGTTTCCTAAGGGTAGTTTCTAATTCTTATTCATCTTTTTTAGCATTTCAACAAATACTTACTGAATGTCTGGAATACCAGGCACCGAGGCGGCTGGTAGAGTGATTAAGAACATGCAAAGACTTTGGAGTCAGATTACTCAGGGCTGCTAGTTTGTGTGTGTGTGTATGAGTGTGTGTGTGTGTGTGTGTGTGTGTGTGTTTGCGGTGCTGGAGATTGAACCCAGGGTCCCGTGAATGCTGAGAATGTGCTCTACCACTGAGCTTCACCTCCAGCCCATAGGGTTTTTAGTTGATCAATTAGGAGAACTTGCAGGTAAAGCCAAGGCCATGTCTCTAAGACATTTGTTGCCACCTAAACCATACACGTGCCCATTTATTCACCAGTTTCTTGACACTGACMCAGGTCTTTCCTTTGAACTTGGGTCTGTAGCCTGGAGTGTCTTACCACTTTCTAGCACAGACAAAACCTATGTTGTCTTGTCTAAAAATTTCAGGTTTGATTTTTTTTCAAGTGGAGAAAGAACTTTAAAAATTGTTAAGTCAATTAAGTACAGAATTCTTCATTCTTTTGGTTATCTCCTACTTCCACCCGCGGTCTGTTTTTTTTGGTGCTGGGGGTTGAACCCAGGGGTGCTCAATCACTGAGCTATATCCCCTACCCCTTTTAATTTTTTTAGTTTGAGACAAGGACTTGCTACGTTGCTTAGGTCCTTGCTAAGTTGCTGAGGCTGGTCTCAAACTTGCAATCCTCCTGCCTCAGACCCCCAGCTGCTGGAATTACAGGCATGCACCATGGTGCCTGGCTACCTTCAATCTTTTATAGTTGTTTTGCCTATACCTAATTTGGTAGCATTTTTTTTTAAAAGCAATTTGTCTGAGTCCTTCTAGAGAAGTCATCTTTTTAAATGATACTTCTTTTTTAAATTATTAGGTTAAAAACCACATAACATCAAATTCATCATCTTAACCCTTTTTAAATGCACAGTTTATTAGTAACTACATACACATCATTGTGTAACAGATCTCAAGAACTTTTTCATCTGGCAACACTGAAATTCCACACCAATTTTCCCTCCCCAGCTCTTGGCAACCACATTTCTACCTTCTGTTGCTATACATTCTATTTTAGATACTTTTAAATGAAAGGAACCATATATATTTGGTCTTGTGACTTATTTCACTAGCATAATGTCATCATGGTTCATCCACATGGTAGTATATGTAAGAAAAATTATCCTTCTTGATAGCCATATAATATTCTATTATATATACATACCACATGTTCTTTATCTGTTCTTCTGTGGATGGCAATTGAGGTTGCTTCCACCTCTTTGCTAGTGTGAATGCCATCATGAACATGGACATGCAATGTCTGCTATATCACTTTGGCTTCTTTTGGATATATGTACCCAGAAGTGTGATTAGTGAATCATTGAGTAATTCTATTTTTAATTTCTTGAAGAATTCCCCCTATTTTTTCTATAATGGCAGCACCAATTCACATTCTCACCAACAGTGCACATTCCAATTTCCCTTCATTCTTGCACAAGAATGACACTTTTCTGTTGAGAGTGGGCCATCTCAATGCACGTCAGGTGATATCTCATTGTGGTTTTGATTTGCATTTCTCTTATGATTACTTATGCTCAGCATCTCTTCATGGGCTTGTTGGCCATTTGTATATATTCTTTAGAGAGTTGTCTTCTCAAGTTCTTAGCCCAGTTTTTAATTGGGTTGTTTTTTGGCTGCACAACAAAGTTCCTTACATAGTCTGGGTATTAACCCCTTATCAGTTATATGTTGGTAAATATTTTCTCCCATTCCACTGGTCAATTCCACTCTGTTGATTGTTTCCTTTGACATGCAAAAGTTTTTTAAGATTGATATAGTCCCATTTATCTATTTTTGGTTTTGCTGCTTATGATTTTAGTATTATATCCAAGAAATCATTGCCAAATGCAGCGTTCTGAAAGCTCCCCCACCCCTTGTTTTACTTGAGGATTTTTATAGCTTTCGTCTTACATTTAGTTTTTAATCCACTTTGAGTTAATTTTTATGTGTGGTGTGAAGGGTCCAACTTCAATCTTTTGCATATGGATATCCAGTTTTACCAACAGCTCTTCCCTCCCTCCCTCCCTCCCTCCTTCCTACAGAAGGACTGAGTCCAGGGGTGCTATACCACTAAGCGACACCCCAGACCCTTTTGGTTTTTTTTTTTTTTTTGAGGCAGCATCTCACTAAGTTGTGTAGGGTCCCAGTGAGTTGTCCAGGCTGGTCTTGAAATTGCAGTCCTCCTGCCTCAGATCTTCTGAGTTCCTGGGATTATCAATGTGTGCCACTGCACCTGGCAAGAATATTTCTTGATGACTTACTTAATGTTGACATTTTGGTGGGTTACATGCTATTAAATAAATTTATATAATTATGGCACAAATAGATTTGGGAATACAGAGAACAGAGATGACCCAGGTGAGCAGCACCTCTGTGGTCATGTAGGCCTAGCTCAGCAGCCTATCAGCCCCAGACGGTCAGTGTGTACTAACCGTGTCATTTTATCTAGCTTTTCGGTGCTTTAACATCTGAAGTTTTGCTTCTTCTGGAGAGACCGTCCCTCCTGGGGCTAGCCAGTTACTAAGAGGGTAAAGGACTCAACAGAGAACTTGCCTTTGCTCTGCAAACCAACCAATCCAGAGCTCACACCCACCACCTTCTCTGTCACACTCAGGACCCTGATCCTCGTGCCTCAATCACCCCAAGGTCATGTCCCAGACAGGTCAGTTCCTATGTCCCAGAACATGCTGAAATCATTCAACTCAGCCAATCCTAAGTCTGCTTACTTGGACTTTCCAGTTTCTTCCTGGGAAAAGAACCGCAAAGGCTCTCATCTGCTTTTCCTTCTAATTAATCGACCTTATTGCTTCCCTATTGCTTCCCCAGGTGTCCCCCAACCCTCCCTCCGCAGTGTGGCACGCCTCCTGATCTGTTGGCCCTGCCATACCAAATGATAACATCTTAAGAGTGGGCCAGGCACACTGGCCTGCAGGTTAGAGGCAATGGGAGTGGCTTTCACTTGAGAACTTCTGCTGCAGCCCCCCTCGGGGTGACTCAGACTGTGACCACATCCACAAGATACTGGGCACCTTGTAAGAATCCCAGGGCTAGTCATGATCACAACTTGGTACTGGGGCCACAGTGTTGAATGGTCCCAATCCTCAAGACACTCTCAGACCACCAGACCATTTGGTGAGGGGATGGATCCTCATTTAGCCTAGAAGGGCAGGAAAAGGCTCCCTGATTAGACAGGTGGAAAGGGGTTTCCAGGCCAGCAAGCGGGAGGTGCCAAGGCCACTGTGGCAGGTGCCTGTGCTTCAAGGCCCAGGCACAGGTAGGTGTACAAGTTAAGGTTTTGCTTTTCATTTAAGTGGAGGAAGGAATGGGTGTAGTAGTAGGGTTAATAATAGGGTAGGGCACTGCCAAAGGCCAGCTCTGACTGCACCAGGGTTTTGACACGAGCGGATCCTCCTGGTTCACTGACAAGCGGGTAATGACAGGTCATTCTTGACAGCAGACCATTGAACTGTGCGTTTATGAAGTCCGAGGACCTCCTCCAGGACTGGAACAAGGCCAGTCACGGGGCAGTGAGTGACTAGGACACACACCCAGCCCTTGAATAACTCACAGCACGAGGTGGTCCCAGAGCAGGACACAAAAGACACAGGGAACACAAGAGAGGCCAACAGGAGGGTCGGCAAGCGAGGCCAGCCCAGCGTGGTGGCCGGCCCAGTGTGGCCTGCCTGGAAGCGGAGCTCTCAGCACTGGCTCCTGCCCAGGTCTGCTGAAGCCAGTGGTCTGGGGAAGAGGACTGTTTGTACGCTGCAGAGGTCAGTACCTTATGGCCCTGTTTGGCTGCAGACTGCATCGTGACTCAGAAAAACCGTTGTGCTCCAGTCACAATATGGTCACAGAGCTTTGGTGTTTGTTTCCTCTTCTGCAGAGAGGAACAATATCTAACTTCTCTTTCCTAAAAGGAGGCCTATAAGGTCATGAGAATTCACCAGAAGACCAAGAGACCTTCCCTAAGTCACAGGATCCTTGCCCTCAACGATCTGATTGGCGGGAACCTCAACACGGACCCTAGGAGATCCAGTTCTTTCCTTCTAGTTTGTGAAAATCCATAATACTTTGTAGGGTTCCAGGAGATCACAAAGTGCTAAGGTTGCAACTGGGATTCAGCCACAGACAGATAACAGAGGCTAACATCAAGTTCCTCACACAACTTCAATTTAAATTAAACTTCCTTTAATGAAATAAAAAAACAAATGGTGCATTGCATAATATTTGTGGTCACAGTATAAAACAATACAATTAGTTCATATAACATTGGATATGGACAAAAATACACAAGACCCTTTCTTTTTTTCTACTGAAAATTCTGCAGATCCTTATGTGCCACACTAAAAAAAGGAAAGTCAGTCAACCTTGTTCTCCTAGTGATCTGCACATGTACTTATCACTGAGAATTTGGTCAAACAGTGGAGGAGAACTTACCCAAATCCCAGTTCCCTTCTTCCTCTGTTGTCATCGGTGAAGCTAAAAAAAAAGTTTTCTGAAAGTAGCAAGTTGTGTAGTATTGCTTATTGTTCCTGCCAAAAAAAGGCTCAGTCTTTGGCTCACAGATGTCAGTGACAATAATCATGGCTGCAGGCAGTCTGCAAAGCAGGAGGCAAGAGCCCCCCAGGGAAAGAGACAGAGGTCTGGGCAGGAGGGAGCCACGTGGCTAGGAGGGGACACACACACATACACACACACACACACACACACACACACACGTACACACATAAATACATTTCTAAATTAAGATTTAATCCAGCTGGTGAGTCAGAGTTCCACCGTCCCATGAAAAAATCTGAAAAGTTGTTTAGGAAGCCAGAGTTTTGCGTTTTTCTCTTTTTTAAAAAAGTGAGACGTGTCTGTAAACATCATAAAGTAAACAATTTAAAAGCAATTTTGAGGCTTCTATCTGAACATTGCTCAGGCTCTTTGGGGGAATATTTTTGTGATTAGGGAAAAAAAAAAAAAAACCCAACCTTCTCTATAAAGTTGCTTTAAGAAGTGCAATTTCATCCGAGGGAGGCCTGGCCAGGTCCTTCTTTGCTCATACAGTACCGCTGGCGGGAGCCTCTCCCAGAAGAGCACTTTGTGACATGGGAGCCCTATTTGGGACCAGAGTGTATCTCCCACTTTGAAAAGGACACACATCCCAGGCAAGTGTACGTCCCTGGAGGGAACCAGCGATGTCCTGGGATGTCTCGCCCCTCGCCCAGCCCCCGGGTGACTTGTGGTTAGGCTGGCCCAATGGACATGGGGGAAGGGGGAAGGCCAGTGCCTTCACGACTCAGCCTTGAACCTTGACATCAGTTTGCAAGGGAAAGGTATGATCTGTGACCCCACGTCCCTTTTATTACCACTAAGTGCCTGGTGTGACCTGGTCCCTGGTTTTACACACACCTGGGGGCCACCTGGTCTTGTCCAAAGCTAAGTGTCCCATCTCCCACTAAGAAGAGCCGTCGCTGCAACAATGAATCTTCTTATGGTAACTGCAAGGGCCCTGGGGCACTGGCTGTTACTACTACAGCACCAGTTTACAGTTGTTCTCCCTTAATTCCTGCTTGTACAATCACCTGTGTCCCTCCTTCTCCGAAATAGCACAGTTGGGAAATGACATTGAGAAAATCTAGTGCCACCAAGGCTTCTTCTTATTCCTCTCTCTCTCCCATTTGGGTGGGGCGTACCTGCTCCCTGTCTTCCCACCATGGGGTCCAGGCCTGGGACAGCCGTGCTGCAACCATGACATGACCTACAGCGTGTGTCATAGGGGCGGTCCCCGTGGTGCACAGAACAAAAAGCAAAAAACTGGGTGGAAATCTGCTTCCAGGGGGGCAACTGGGTGATAAGCAAGCACTTCAGAACCAATCAAGAGCAAAAGAGAGGGGAAGGAGAGCTGGTGAGCTGGGAGGAGCTCAGTCACCCGGCCCACAGTGACAAAGAGCTGCACATGAATGGCCATCATTTTGTATTACTTTATTGCTCAAAACAAACGAATCTTTTTTTTTTTTTTTCCCCCTTTTGGAAGACAGAGCAGTGTTAGATCCTTCAGAGCCAGGATAAAAAGCACAGAGGATTGCAATTAGGGCATGAGTCACCAGTGAGCCTCAGAAAACCCCCACTGGAAGCTTCTGGAAGGCCAGTGCCATGCAGAGGGCCAGACACTTCAGGGAGCCAAGGCTCAGAGGGGTGCACTATTAATGAAGAAGTCAGGGACCCGGAAGATCTCTTTCTGTGGGCTGTCCTACTCCTGATGGAAGCAGCCAGGCAAAGCAACTGCTCTCAGTCCTACTTTACAGGCTGTTCACATGACAGTAAATTGCCGGGTTTCCTCCGTGTTCCTAACAGGAAAGCAAACATACCACAAAATATACCCTTTCTCACTGACCCCCTGCAGGGGATCTTAAGAAGTTCTGAAGGACTGTAAAGGTCATGGAAAACGCACGGCTCCTCTGGGCAATTGCAGATTCCTTGCAGTCAGTCAAGTCTTCAAGCAGCAATTTGCCTTCATGTGAAGGAGCCCAAGTGGGGTGTGAAGGACGTGGCATATCTGTGGGTCCCTGTAGGCCCCCTGGTGGCCAACGCCTTCGCCTCTCAGGAAGGGCAGAAGCGGGGGATGGAGGGGCTTCCGTGGCCCAGCACAGCCCTGGCGCCCTGGCCCTCCTGGCTCGGCCCGTGTGAATCGAACTTCCTAGGATCCCTCGAGGCACAGAGGCCTCACAACTATTGGCAAAAGCGTCTGTCCCTCTCCTTGTCCCCAACCTTCTCTTCCTCGCAGACTTTCTGACTGCCCTGGACAGAGGTGGCTGTGTATTTTTCTTCATATTCATTCTTAAGGCTAAGGTGGCAAGATAAGGTGCTCGGTGGAAAGCCAAATTCAGACTCCAGGGCTGCCATTTCAGCACGCTCACAGAAAGCAAATGCAAAAGAAATGGAAGAGGGGCAGAGAAGGAAAAAAAAAAGAAGAAGAAGAAAAAAATGCATTTGGGCTCAATGAGAAGTGACATACTCCAAGTTTAGATTTCAAATGTAGTCTACGCCCTGGAAAATCGGGCATGGGTTAGAGTAGGAAAAGCCACAGATCAGCCGTGGGCACAGGCCTGTGTCATCTCTAGGCTGGGGTCGAGGGTCACAGCAGCTGTCCTCATGGAGCCCCCCCCACCGAGGACCCCAGGGCGCCCAGGTGGCAGGCACATTCTCGCCCAAGGTCAAGAACTCTGAATGCCATCACCCCTTCCTCACCGCAGCCCCTCGCCACAAAAGCGGTCGACACACACAAGTGGGAGGATCGATAAGCCAGTAGGAGAAAAAAAAATTAGACAAAGGTTAACCGTTAAAAAACTGCAGCTGGGAAAACACACACTCAATTGTTATATATCAGAAAGTGCCGTGGGAAGGAGAGCCGTGTGCTGGTAGACAGGTCCGCGCTCAGAACTTGACATGCAGGAGAGAGAGCGAGCGCCAAGTCCCACCTGAGATTAGAGAGGACTGGTTTTAGTGTAACACACTTGGTTTTAAAAATCTCACTGTCCTCTTCTCACCCCCACTGTCCCTCTGTCACTCCCAGTCCGGCTGGCTGTCTAGTCCATCTCCATCGACATGAGCCGGCGGCGTTCCCGCCGCGTCTCCTGCACCTCCTTCTTGCAGCACCAGTGGGAGCTGCAGTACCCGATGAGGCAGGACAGGAGCCCGATGACCGTGGACAGACCCACGCCGATCAGCAGAGGATACTTGAAGGCGTTCAGCACTGGCAGGGAGAGATCCAAAGGGGAAGCCGTTAGTGCTGCCAGGGAGGCTCCTGGGGACCACTGCCGCCCTATCTGCCCCACTCAGCAGGCTTTCCTTGCGGGATCAGATGTCAGAAATCCAGCACCCAGCACGGTGCTTACGCAGGAGCAGCTCAACCACGTTAGTTGGAAAAAATGCACAAATCTCTCCCCACACCCAGTTCTGGGGGAGGGGATTGTACTATAGAAAAAAAGAAAAAAAAAGATTCCATTCAATGCTTCTGAATGTCAGCTGGCTTTTGGGGGTTTTGGCAGGAGATTGATTTTTAAAAGTCAGTATAAGGGCAACGCACGTTCAGCAGCAGATGCGTCCTTAAAAAAAAACTGTGCATAAATCAATTCCATGCATCAAATAACTGAAGTGTACTCAGGGAGCTATTTTAAGTAACACTATGGTAAATTATCTAGCAAAGTGAATAATCACTCCCCTCCTTGTTTGGTAAATCTGGGTTTTTCATGTGGAGTTACTTCAAGCGAGGAATATCTAGGATGCAAATATGGTATAGATGACAGAAGTTTTAGATAGGCACAAGCTGAGATTTTAGATATGCACGGCTGAGATTGCACCCCGGAAGCCCCAACTCTCCTCCTTGCTAGATGCCGTGAATGGATACCACTACTGGACTAAGTGCCTTACCTCTGGTGTGGTTTGGTTTTCACAACAGCCTCATGAGAGATTACAAGAGAGGAAAAGGATCAGGAAGGCTAACGATTTTGGAAGAGCTGGAGTTCCCAGGTCCATCTCCCCAAACAGAAATCTCACTAGGGAAACACTCCCAAGGCTTCTCCTGGTCCGTGGAGGCACTCGAACTTTAACTCTCTCCACAGTGTTATTCCTTTTGACATTTACTTTCGGAAGCTTTTTGCAGGGGAAACATACTTCCTGGGAACAACTGCCCTGGCATGCTCGGGGGATGGAGGTCTGACCATGGAATAGCTTGACTCTGGGGTGGGGAGGCTGGGAATCGCCCTCCTACCTCAGGGCTCTGTGAAGTCACCGTGTGCCTGTGATACCAGGGGGGGCTTCCTTTTCCAAGAAGCACAGCAATGGGAGGGCAAGGAGGGCAGCACGGGCACCCCATCTACGGCTTCACCTGGAGACCAGGACCCTCCCTCTCAATGCCGCTCTCTGCTGCTGCCCCGCAGAATCCACGCCAACCTCAGGGCTTAGTAGTTTCCACAGAATTTATGGCAAAGCCTCGAAAATCTTTCCAATGAATCTTGAAAACCATTTCCTGCTGGTGCCACCAGCAAGGGGCAGCGAAGCTGGGAACTGGCAAGGGCTGCCTGTGCTTTCTGGCTGTAGGCCCAGGCCAGGCCTAGAGGGAAAGCAGGCTGGACACGTTACGGCACATTCCTCAAACCCTGGAAGCCTGGATTCTGTCAGCTGTGGCATGGAACGGAGAGAGGACATTCCCCAAACACAGAGAGAAAGGTCTGTGTGTCACTCTTACCATCCATCTTCACAGTTATAAAGATGGGCTTGGAGTGGATCTCTGCCTCTCTCTGCCAGGAACCTGTTGGTGACTTCACCCATGGAGTCACGGAACAATAGTAGTTGCCAAAGTCCTGGTCCTCAGAGCCATGTACTTGCAGTAAGAATTCCAGCACACTCACGCGCTCCAGGCTGAGGTCACTCTTCCAGTCCCTTCGGGCGGTGGTCACAATCCCCTTCCGATCCAGGGAGGACAGGAGGACAGGAGCCTTGTCCAAGCCAAAGGAGTGTACAGCAAACCAGGACACATCAAAGGCCATGTCATCTGTGGATCACCAAGCCAAAAAACCCTGGGATCAGCGCAGTGAGCAGAACTAATGCAAGTAGCCACCACGTATATAACGCTTATCACAGGCCTGCTCTGCTCCACACAGCCTCACAGCAGCCCTGTGATAAAGGTACCATTGTATTTCCCTCTATACAGAGACCACCTTGTTCAAGGTCACACAGCCAGAAGGAGCAGCATGTGCAGCTCAACCCAGGGAATCCAGCCCCAGGGTCCAGCCTCTTACCCATCCTGCTGCTGCCACCCAGCCTAAGGAATCCCAAGGAATCCCAGGAAGATGAGTCAAAGTGCTTCCCAGAGACAGTAAGGAATGTAAAGCTGGTATGCAGTGACATCACACTCTGTCTCTTAAAGAAAGCAGGGTCCTTTGGCACTTCAGGCAGAAGAATACAAGAGTGAGAAGACACTAAAGTCATAAAGAACAAAATGTACACAAAATGAATTGCACAAAATTTAGAGTTGTAAACTGTTTAGATTTTATTGTTCACTGTGGTTTTTTTTTTTTCTTCTTCTTCCTCTTTGTAGAAGTACTTAAGTTCAAAACAAGAGGAAAAAGATGTCAAGCTGAGAAAATTGAACACAGTTTAGCAGTCCCAGGGAGTAATGCTGCTGGATTGTAGAGTACTCTGCAAAATTAAGGCTCTAACAGCCTCCAATAAATTAATACAGGCATAAGAGAAAGAAGACGTTGGCACAGTGGTAATTGTCAGAGAATGTGAAAACCAAGCACATGTCTTAAAACCCCTGACCTCTTCCTCTTGACTGAAATCAACTAATATCAGCTGGGTGAGTTCTGAGGTCATCCAACAGCCAGGTAAGGACCATAAGCCACAAACATCATTCCATCTTAAATCCACTTGACAAGACGTTTATATAAATGTTAAAGAGGGTAGTTTTTGCTGAACAAAATGTAACATTCATTCATTTAGTAAAAGTACACTAATAACTTCAAAAAGCATAGTATAAAGCAAATAAGTGATGTTCAGATGATGACACACTTAAAAGGACTGTAAATCAAACTAAAAGCCAGAATTTCTACAAAATCATCCAAATGATAATTCCTTTCTGATTCCCTCTGAAAACACAATATCTCCTTTTTCGTCCCCAAGGAGCCATGGTAGTACTTGATGATAAGATTTTGTTCCCAGAGTGTGAAGTTGTCTCTATTTAACAAGACCAGCTCTGTAGGGGTCAAGTGGGTACCATGAGCTGCCTCCTACCCTCACAGCGTCAGGGGCCCAGCAGGCAACCGGGTCAAGCTCACAACTCAGTGGAAACTTTAACTCAATGCCGCTGTCACCTCCATGTGCTGGGTGGATACCAGCAGCAGCAGAAGGCACAGCCGTGTTCCCGTTGCTTGTGCCCAGACTCTAGCTCCTGATTGCTCACTGCATTTTGCAGGGTGGGCTACCTGGGCTAGAATCTGGGCACCCGCACTCACTAGCCATGTGATCTGTACCGATGCTGCTGGTGCCCTGAGCTCCTGCTTCCATAGGTGTTAGATGCTGAGCACGTGTACCAGACAACAGCTAACCACTGCAGGATTATAAAAGTCCAGTCCCTTGGCTCCAGGTGGCAATACTCTGGTCACTCACAAGAGCACCCGTGGGGGTAGACTTGTTCTGAATTCACATCTCCACTGCATTCTTCCCTATTTATTCTACCTGGATCCCCTCCCTTCTGGCAGTATTCTCCCGAGAGCGCTCCCTCAACGAATCATGGCATGCCTGTCTCAGCTTTGCTTCTGGGAGGGCCTGAGCTGAGACACCGTTCCAGAAGGGCTGTGCTCTGCTGCCCCCTCCCCACCTCGGCACAGGAGTGCCTTGGCTCTCAGCCCACTTCTGCAACCGTCCTTTCCCAACAGGAATTGCCTTGCAGGCCATAGGATGCATGAAAAAATACTAAATTACAACTTGTGTTTAATTATTCAGAATCCTCCACCTACATAGTCCAAGAGTGCAAAGTTCTGAAAAATTGTGACCTGCGAGATATCAGATACATACAGCTTTTGCAATTACACTGGAGGAAAAGATTTTTATATTAAATCTACAACTGGTGACCCCTTTCATTTACCAACAAAGAACATTTAAAGAATTATTATTATTATTATTATTTGTGTGTGTGTGTGTGTGTATTATAAATGAGCTTTAAGGGTAAAAATGGCATCTCAGCAAAGTCGAGCCTACTCATTTAAGGCCTAGGCCCCTCCTTTCTTACCCCCATGAAAAGAGCTGACCAAATCCATCGGTTTCCTTTTCTCACAAATGTAATCTCACAGTACCCACAGACATCTTTTTCCTACCTCTAAAGCTCATCCATATTCAGCTTTCCTTAGAGAGCCAGTGTTGACATCAATCAGTAAACTACAGCCTTCAGGTCAAATCCAGTCCACACCTGTTTTTAAATACAGTTCCACTGGAACACAGCCATGCCCATTTGTTTACATTCTCATCTACAGCCGCCTTCCTGCTATGGCGGCAGAGTTGAGGAGCTGCTGCAGAGACCATCTGGCCTACAGAGCCAAAAATACTTCTTACTGGGTCATTTGCAGGAAATCCCAAACTAGTTGCCACCTGAACCTTCAACCGGAGGTCCTGCAGGAGCCAGACATCTACCTGGATGGTGGCGGCCACCCAAACCTCTGCTCCCAGATGCCGGAAGGGCCCGGTGCCCAGCCCAGGGTGCTCATTCTGGCTTCACTCCCTTTGCATTAGCATATCCCCTTCATACAGAAAGAAACCTGATTCTTGTTCCCCCCAGAACCACATTTCCAGCTGTCTCCACACAGAAATGTGAGCACCCTGCATAACTTGGGCTTCTCAAGGTGCAAATCTGCCCCAGACCAGGGCTCTGCTTGTGATGGGAGGGGGAACGAGACAATTGATGTCCAGGGTCAAAGTGGGTAGAGGAGATAAGGGCAGCCCTTAGTAAGATGCTTCTTCACAAAGTCTTTGGGAAAAGGCAGAGGTAGCTACAACCATGCTCAGCAACAGAGATACCCTGCAGTTAAGGTTCTTTCAGGCCCTAAGGATCCAGAAGCAAGAGTGGGGCCAAGGATAAAAGGCGTGAAATGAATGGGTCCCACAGCTGTTAAGCATCCTGTTGGCAATGCTAATATTATCTGTGCAGAAAAGTATTATAAAAATTTCCTAAAAATTCTATAATAGCACTGCCTGGTCACTTGCTACTATTCTCTTATTCTTTTGTATTTCTTCATAGCATTAATGGCTGTCATTTTGCCTCTGTCCTTAACAAGGTTGCAAGTTCCAAGGAGACAGACTTTGAATATTTTGTCCATTCCTCTATTCTCATCATCTCCAGCATCACTTATGTATTGAAGGAGCTCAGTAATATGTGAATGAATAAATGAATCAAAAAAAAAAACAGGGAAGGAATAAACTCCACAAGTATGTTTCACAGCAGTCTAACCAAGCCTGGAGGGGACCCACTGCCTGCCCTCACAACTCAGGTTCAGATGTCTGAACATGTTTCCAAATCACCCAACAGACATAGGCGTCCAATCAACCAAACCAGTACCAAGCAGGCAGTGGGGATAAATAGTCAGTCTAATCCCCAGTCCCCCCACATCTGTGTATCGCAGTGGGATTGATATGAAAAATAATTTTCAAAAGACAACCTGGGAAAGGGGAAGGGGAAAGGTTGGTGGGAGGTACCTGGATCCAGCACTGCTCCTTCAACAGTGATGATGCAGAATAATTTGATCAGATCTCCCCGGATGACTGATGGAGTGTCCGAATGCACTGAGGCATTAAATATGGGACCTGGAAGAAAGTAAGGTCAGCCCCTATTATTTTCTTTCATACTTTTTCAAATTCCATTCTTGGTGGCATCTAAATGTGGTTCCCTTTCCTGGGAACTGGTCTAAAAACTCACACACACACACAAAAAAAAGTGTTCTAAGAGTGCCTTTCTTCTATACAAAGCAACGTGTGCATTAGGCACGTCCAAATGAATCCTGTCTAAAGATGAAGCCAAAATACAACTCTTTCTAAAGAGCTACTTTTGCTTCTGGCTTTTCCTTTTACCTGTTTTCTGATGAAATCTCATTTGAAGGTCATCCCCACCTCTCATCCTGGTACAGATTGGGTTATTTCTGGTTCATGGTGATGCACTCTAGGCCAGGGTGGCTTGGAGAGCAGAGGGACAGGGACTGAACCACAAATGCTTTTTGGTCCTAATAGTATGAGAGACCTCACTGCATTGTGCTGAGTGCTGGGGACAGGGGCCCTGCTGTTAAAAAGCTGAAATCCAGTAAGGATTCAGACATGCCAACAATGTAAAGTACTGAAGTAGGGCGCCGGGCTGCCAGGGGAAATCGAGGCAGCCTGGATAGTCCTTCAAAAGACTATCCAAGTCAGGAAGGCAGGGTGCACATGGGGACTCTTCTTTCTGCTCAAGTTTGCTGTGAACCCAATGCTGCTCTAAAAAAATAAAGTCTAGTAAGAAACCAATAAACAGAAAGCCCTGGACTCGGGCAGGATTTGTCTCCCATACCTCCCTGAGAACACTGTAGGCATGATGATTACTTTTAAACCTATCTATGAATCCCTCTTAGGTGACAGCATTTCACAATTTTAAGCCAAGCTGATCCCGAGAAGTCAATGTTAACCTTATCATCACAGCTCCTAGAACCCAGGAACAGGCAGACTTGAAAGAAGGTTCCAGAACATCGGTGCTATGGGATTCCTCTGAGATTTCCTGAGAAATAGTGATAGATGGCCCTAGATGTGGATTCCAAAACACGTTAAAAGAACACAGATGTCTACTATTTTCTTGTTCAGATGAGCAGAAAGGAAAGAATACCCGAAAGTATATTAAAACAACAACAACAACAACAACAAAACATCCGGAAGAAATGACCTTGGGGAGCAAAAGAGTGTGTGTGTGTGCGAAAGAGGGAGAGAGAGCGTGTGTGAGTGTGCACGTGCAAAAGGTCACACCATCGAATGAGGCAACTAATTGCCACATTAGATTCTCATTTCAACTTGATAACTACTAAGACAAATTCATGAGACTCCTTTCCTCTCACTCTAAGTTATATAAACAGTTTTGTGTTTTCCTGGGAGAAAGGTAAAGGATGGTTATAAAATATGGAACACTAGCGGGGTTTAGGCAGCCCTGGATGGGAACCACTAAGTTCCAATTAGCCAGAGAGCAGCCGAGACAGAGAACACGCTGGCTCAGCAGAGGGTGGGGGCGATGAAAGCCAGAGGACAAGGACTCGGCCCTCTTCTGGACATCAACTCCTCTGCTGCTCAGCTCTCAGCCCCTGCAGTGAGGAGGGGCAGGCCTGGGCTGGCCGCACTGAGCCAGCTCTGCGGTGACGACTGGGGTGCTCTATGCCACAGGTGGCCATCTGCGAGTGCAGGGTAGTCGTGGCCATGGTGAACAGCGGCTATTACACTGTTCTCTCCGATAAGAATTTCACGGTAATAAATGGGACCACAATCAGGGGCTTTCTTAAAAGTATTCGGGCCCCTTTTAAGAGAACACACAATAAAAAAAAAATGCTAAGAAATACCCATAATGGATTTATGTTTCTATTTAATTTGAAATAGCAAAAAAAAAAAAAAAAAAAAAGACTCATGGAGTTTGGACAAATGTCACTTTTTCTTTATATTTCCAAAGAAAACCCCAAATGTCTTCCAGGTCACAAGTTACAGTTCTCATTTTCCCCATTGGATGTGGCTGTGGGAATCCAGAGCGGGTCTGTGCGGCGGCTCACAATGCAGACAGGGATGGGGAAGAAGGCCTTCATTGTGGCGGAGGGGGCACAGGAGTCGATTTCCTTCTAACGAAGTCAACAGCTCACTGTTAATATGGGTCATTATCCCGGGCTTAGAAATATTTTCATTATGGTCGATTTCTGTGGTAATGCTGTTTTTGTGAGGGGATTTGTCTGGTCAGCTTCACAGATGACAGACTGGCCCAGAGAATTTAAGTGAACAACCAGAGTCACTAGGGGTCCCTTGATTCCTGGTCTGCAGAGAGGACGGAAACCACTTAGCTTTTTAAAATACAAACATGCATGCAAACCATATTCTAACCCCCAGCCCTAGAAAAAGGCTTAATGGCAATGTTTTTGTGAAAGCCAAAAATTGCCCATCATCTGCATGTCCGTCAAAAGGGTCATGGTTAAGCAAATCCTACTATATATACTCATTAAAGTTAGTGTTTACCTAGAACTTATGGCAACGGGAAAAATGCTTATCTTCTAACATTAAAGGGGAAAGAAAGCAGGTCATAAAATTATATACGCAGCCTGATCTCAGAGTCATAAAGAAAACACTCAAGGGAAAAATTCTAGGAGGATAAACAACACAAATTAGTTTCTGGTAGCAGGACAGGATTCCTTCTTTCTGTTCTTTTACTCTATTTTCAAATTTTCCATGTTAAAGAGAAAAAACATCCACTAATATTCTTTTCAAAGGCCAAGGCCTAAAGCATCACATTTAAATCTTATTTCCCCGTTGACACTTGAGTCAGCAAAACTCATGACTTAGAAGGCCCCCTTGAGAAACAGGTCTCAATCATAAAGAGGCCAGGGCCCTGCCAGCGGGCCAGGAAGATGGACACTGGAAGGACTCTTTGTCGTAGGTCTTAGGGAGTACTGCAGATTTTTAGGAAGCAAAGGCTCCGGTTTCAAATCAATGTTTGCTGGGGGCTACTTAGGGCTACATTGTTGTGCTGGGTACTGAATTTGATGGCAGCCTCTTCTAATTAAAATGTGAACTGGCTATGACAACTCCACAGATTAAAAATAGAAACCTCAGGCAGTCTATTCAACCTGGAAGCACAGTGAATTTATTTGTTATATTTAGTTTTTAAAAACCGAGAAATAGATTCAATATCCATTCCTCACCCAGAAATACATACAGAAGATGTTATGTCTTCCCTCTTCCACAGAACAGTTTATAAGAAAGATCAAATAACAAATGTCAAACATGATGGAATTGACGCCTACAGATAACAAAACATATACAAATAAAGGACAAACACAACACGACCATCTCAACAGACACAGAAAAAGCATTTGACAATACCCAATACCCTTTTCATGATACAAAAACACTCAAAAAATTGAAATGGAAGAAAACTTTCTCAACCTGATAATGGGCATCTATGAAAAATCCAGATTTAATTGGGTGTGGTGGCACATGCCTGTAATCCCGGTGGCTTGGGAGACTGAGGCAGGAGGATCATGAGTTCAAAGCCAGCCTCAGCAATGTGAGGCACTAAGCAACTCTGTGAGACCCTGTCTCTAAATAAAATACAAAATAGGGTTGGGAATGTGGCTCAGTGGTCAAGAGCCCCTAGATTCAATCCCAAGTACCCTCCCCTGCCAAAAAGCATCCCCACAACCCAGATATAACATGACGCCTAATAGTGAAACACTAAATGCTTTTCCCCTAGGATTAGGAGCAAGATGAGGATGTCCATTTGGGCTATTTCTATTCAACATGGTACTGGAGGCTCTAGCCAAGGAAATCAAGCAAACAAGAAATTGAAGGCATTCACCTCAGAAAGGAAGATGTAAAATTATCTCTATTCTCAAATAACGTGATCTCCTATTTTAAAAATTATAAAGAAAAAAATTAATTGTAAGGAATAAAAAAAACTATTGGAACTAATTAACAAGTTGAGCAAGGTTGCAGGATACTTGATCAATGTACAAAGATCAGTTGTATATCTCATAATTGCAATGTCCAAACAGAAAAGTAAATTAAGAAAGTGGTTCCATTTCCAAGAGCTTAAAAAACAAATTACAAATTAAGGATGAATTTAACAAAAGAAGTTCAAGACTTGTTCACTGAAAACAAAATACCACCAAAAGAAATTAAAGATGACCTAACTAAATGGAAAGACATTTCACATTAATAAATTGGAAGGCAATATTATTAAATGGCAATGCTCTCCTAATTGTTCTACACAATCCATATTTTTATTGAAATTAATAGATTGATCCTAAAAGTCACAGGGAAATGCAAAGGATTCCGAGTAGCCAAAACAATTTTGAAAAAGAACAGCTGGAACACTCACATTTCTTGATTGCAAAACTAACTACAAAGCTACCATAATCAAATAAGATGACACTGGTTTAAGGACAGAAATACAAGATCACTGGAACAGAAGCGAAAGTCTAGAAATATACACTTATGTTTTTTATTAAATGATTTTTGACAAAGGAAAAAATATAGATTCTCCAATAAATGGTGGTAGGAGGAGTGGATATCTCCATGCAAAAGAATAAGATGAACCCAATCCTCACACCACATACAAAAATTAACTCACAACAGATTACAGCTGTAAATGTGAGAGCTAAAAACTAAAAAATTCCTAGAAGGAAACATGCATACGTCTTCATGATCTTGAATTAGGCAACGGTTTCTGAGGTCTGACACCAAAAAAACACAAGCAGCAACAACAAAAATACAGATACACTGGACTTCATCAACATTGAAAGCTTCAGTGTTTCAAGGGACACCAATAAGAAAGTAATGACAACCCACAGATCAGGAGGCATTATTTTCAAATAATAATGTTGATGGCAGCCTTATTCATAGTAGCTAAGAAGTCAAAACAATCTAAATGATTTGACTCAGAGGAAATATCAACAAGAAGCCAATCTATAGAGGTAGAAAGTAGATCTGGGGTTTCCGAGTGAAAGGGAGTGTGGGGGTTGGGCCAGACTACTAATGGGAATGGGGTTTCCTTTGGAGTGATGAAAATGTTCTGAAATTAGAGAGGTTATACAACACTAAATATCTTAAAACTACTGGACTCTACACTTTAAATGGGTGACTTTTACAGTATGTGAATTTCATCTTATAACGTGGGTATTGTAAACAAACAAGCAAATACACAATAAGAGAGGCTTGTGTCTTAGCTATTCCTTACAAACCTCAGAGTTTAAATCAATATCTATGTTTTATTAATTTAAAAGTTAAGAGATGCTAGAAGATTATTTCTCTAACACCATAAAAGGTTAAAATAATACACTATAGATAACATGCTTTCTGGGAGTGTAGCTTACCTGTAAAGTAAATGCAAATAATTTAATTCAACAAACATCTTGGATTTGTGATGGTGATTCACTTAAATGCCTGAATTTTTATAGACGAACATGAATTTACACAGACAGAAATTTCTAACTGGAACCCAGAGCAGAGTTAATAAAAATGTTCAGTCTAAAACTCACAAATGATAATCCTTCACATTGATACTCTAAATAAAACTGGGATTTAAAACTTTTAAATCACCTTCCTGCTGAAAAACATACACAGATCTGTCAGAGGATCTTCATGAATTACTTAGATGGGAAAGAAAGATCTCCCTTTTAGAATGGGCACCTATATCTATGCTATCAACAAAAGAGGATCCTTCTACCTTACTGCATAACAATATTCCAGTGACCAAAGACAAAATGACTTCAGAAGAGATGTGAAAATGTTCTTGTCTGAATTAGCTTTCCCACAGATAAATACAATTAACAATTCTTCTTAACAAAACGAGTTGGGCAGATACATTTGTCCAGACCACAGCAGCTCTGATAACTTGACTAACTGTAGGAAATCTTTTCTCCAATCCAAAAGCAAGGTGAGGAATAAGATGCAGAATCATATGCAAACACTGCTCTGATTAGTTGGACTGAGAAAAGAAGTTACAACCTTCATTCCAAGAGGGTCTTAAGCACAGAAGCTATGCAACTGGTGAAGACTGGGGTCCCCGATCTGGAACTTCCACTTTCAGCATGTCACTTAACATCTCTACAGGCTCAATCCCCTCCTCTTTTTTTATTCCCCACCATGTTTCCTAAAGAATATCAAGTAGCTAGGTTTTTTATTATTATTATTATTAATTTGTTTGTTTTGTTTTTGTTTTTTAATGAGAACAGAAATAAAAACTCACATTTGCAAAAAAAAATGTGGATATTTATAGCAGCACTGCTTATAATAATCAGGACCTGGAAACAGCCAAATGTCATCCATCAGGTGATAAAAGGATAAACAAAGGTGACATGTCCATACAGTGCAATATTCAGTCAGAAAAATGAAGTAAGTGCGGAACTGGGCACAGTGGTGCACACCTGTAATCCCAATGGCTCAGGAGACAGAGACAGGAGGATTGTAAGTTTGAGGCTAGCCACAGCAACTTAGTAAGGCCCTAAGCAACTTAGCAAGACCCTGTCTCAAAGTAAAAAAAGATAAAAGGGCTAGGGATATAGCTCTGTGGAAAAGTGTCCTAGTATATATAAAAACAAAAAAAGTACTGACTACGTGCAACAATATATATGATCCTAGAAAAATGCTCAGAGACATGAAGGTCACATAATATATTCCACTATTTGAGATGTCCAGAATAGGCAAATCTATAGAGACAGAAAGTAGATTATTGATTACTAAAGGACGTGACATGGGAAAAGAGAGGCAGAATTGGAGGATATTGGTTAAGGGTCAGGGTTTCTTTTGAATGTCATGAAAACATTTTAAAATTGATTGTGGTGATGGCTATACAATCCTGTGAACACATGAAAGGCCACTGAGTTATGAACTTTAAATTGGTAAATTGTACAGTATATGAATTCTATTTCAATAAAGCTGGTTTAAGAAAAAAAAAAGGACATTTGATCAAAATCCTCTTCTAGTTCAATCTTTGATTCCACAGAATTCCCTGCTCACCTGAGGTTTGGAAGTCTATCTCAATAGGATTGGAGAGACTGGTTGCTGCTTCTCGCCATAGGCTGCCCCCAACAGGAGACCAGGCTGTCACCATGCAGCGGTACAGGCCTGCATCTGAGACCTGAGTTTGGTACATTCGATATCGAAATTCATCCTCTTGCACTTTCTCTAACACAACTCCATCCACCCGCGATGCATCTGTCCAATTCTCCAGCTTCACTACAGAATCCTGGTCCAGGGAGATGATGTACTTGGTTTCGTTGGGACTGGAGAGGTCCCCAACAGGCTTCTCGGCTGTGATGAGTACAGAGTAGCGTGGAGACTTAATATTCTTGGCCGACACCTTGCAAGTCATCTCAAATGTATTCCCGGCAGCAAAGAAGGGCTTTGGCTGCCTTGCCTTCACCACGAGCACGGAATCTGGAATGAAGCACCAGAAGGTGATTTCCAACAGGACCAGTTAAAATGGATATGCATCTAAAAGCAAAACATCAAGGAAATGGGAATTTATTTGCAAACTGCCACACAAAGGCACTTATGAAAATTGGAAAACTCAGAAAGAAAAATCACGTGTAACCGTGACCAGGCTGAAAACCAGCACAGTGGAAGCAGCAGTTTGAAATGACTGAATGGGTGGAACTGTACAGGTAATGGATGGTGAGAATTTGGTTTGGAGGAACTTCAAGTCCTTAAGATGTTCACCAAGAGAGAAAAGCCGGGGAGCTAAAGTGACCCTAAGATGCACAATGGAATTCACTCTTAGTGAGCTGGGGAGGACTAGACATCCTGGCCAGACTCCTGGCTACACCATTTCACTTCTCCTCCCCTGAGCATCTGCTGAGCACAGAGAAGCGCCCCCTAGCTGAGCTAGCCTGGTGGAGGAGGACAGCAGGAAAATGGCTTCTCTCTGTTTATCCTATAATGCTAACACTACAGACCAGATAGATTACTAAATGACAGGAGCATAAGCACTTGTAGATCTAATCACTTCCACCTAGTTTACACTTTAATTTCAGGGGTGCTACTTTAACAGTCTGAGCCAGTGTCTATGGCTACACTAATGTTAGGTTTAAGTGTGTTCTCTCTGCTTCTGTGTCAAAACAATAATCCCTACGCATATACACATTAGAATTCACCTATTATAATGGCACAGCATCAGGCACTTGGAAGGTACTTAAATATTTGCTGAATGGGTGAATAAATGAATTAGACCCATTCTTTTTATCCTTTAACACAATTATTAATCCTATAATCTGTCTGGTTCTTAGAGTTTTAGGTTGGGTTCTTTGGAATAGTTGTTCCTCAAAACCTATTAGCAGAATATGAATGTTACATTGTCTCTCCAGAATCACTGATTTCTGAGATCCTGTTGAGTCACCCACACTCTTTCTTAATACCTTTATTTTTATTTATTTGTTCTTATGTGGTGCTGAGGATCGAACCCAGTGCTTCACACACGCTAGGCAAGTGCTCTACCACCGAGCTACAACGCCAGCCCACACTCTTTCTTGATTGTCCTGTCTGTTTGCTCATTCAGTCTCCCACATTCCAGGCACCGGGAAGACAACAGTGCATAAACATTCAGAAATCCTGCCCTCTACACTGGAGGAAGGAGACAAACAAAATGAATAAGTAAAATACATGGTACAGTTAGAGGGTGATGATTTAAGGAGAAAAAACAGAGAAGAGAAGAGGGTATTTTTTTTGCATGTGGGTTATGTGTGTCAGCCAGCACATGCAGAGAAAAAGAAACATTTGAAATAAGGACCTGAAGGGGGTAAGGGACCGAGCCTCATACCCACCTGAGGAAAAGCTTTCTATGCAGAGGAAGAGCATGTGGGAAGCTATACAGTGGGAGCCTGGCTGGCGCTGTGGGGAGCTGCAGGAGGGCAGGGGGCTGGCGTGCTGTGGGCACGGGGGAGTTACATGAGGCCAATGGCAACAGCACACGGCACCAAAGGCCAGTGAAAGGATTCGGGGTTTTGCCCTGCAATCGGGAGGCTGTGATGGTGTAGAGCCCAAGAGCTTCATGGTCTGACTTGCATCTTAAGGGCGTGGGTAAGGGCCGAGTGAGGAGACCAGTTAGGGAGCTGGTAACAGAACACAGCAAGAGAGGACGACTCACGACTCCTCCGTACAAGTGAAGCTGGAGAAGTGGTTAGATCCTAAGACAATTTTGAGAATGAAGAGTTGGAGTTTGGGGGTGCAGTCAGCAGTAGAGCACTTGCCCAGCATGCACAAGGCCCTTGGTTCAATACCCAGCACCACCACCAAAAAAAAWAATAATAATAATAATAATAATAATGAGGAGTGAAGAATGAAGGTTTTGGATGAAACAATTAGAACAATGGTGCTAGCTAGCTCCAACAGGCTGGGGAAGGCTGAGAGAAAAGGGTCAGCAGAGACTGGATCTCTGCTTTGAACAGAGGTTTGAGATACCCATTAGATAACTAGAGGTGGACAGAAGGCAACATAATATTGAATCTGGAGAGGCTGGGGTTGTGGCTCAGTGGTAGAGTGCTTGCCTAGGATGTGTGAGGCACTGGGTTCAATCCTCAGCACCACATAAAAATAAAGAAATAAAATAAAGGCATTCTGTCCATCTACAACTACAAAAAAAAAAAAAGATTTAAAAGAAATATTGAATCTGGAGTTCTGGAAAGAGCTCCAGAGTAGGAATGTAAAACTGGAAGTCACTGGTGTCTAAGTATTAGAATTCATGAGATGAAAAGAGACTATCAAGGGGGCACATTAAATAAAAGTCTGAGGACAGTGTCCTGAAGTTGCATAATGTTTGGGGATTAGAAAAAGGAACAGACGCCAGCAAAGAAGGCTGAGGAAGCATTCAGGGAGGTTGGAGGAGCAATCACCTGTGTTAAATCCTGCCAACTTCAGCCACATAACCGACAGGTAGATTTTGCCATATGTGGATCGCTGGTAATCTTGTAAGTGCAATAGAGGGAAAAGCCTGATTAGAATAGACACCAAAGAGAATGGGAGGAGTGCAATTGGAAACATCCCAAATAGAAAAATCGGATGCTGTGCATGGCTATAGAAGGAAAGAGAGTAACAGGCAGGCAAGGGTTGTAGGGAACAGAAAGATGGAGGAAGAAGAGGGATCGGGATTAGTTTAGCTCCCCCACCACCTTGAAGGAGATCTGACAGCACGTTTTCAGGCCAACAGAGAGGTCCAGAGAAGAGAGAAATATTAAAGTCATAAGAGAGTGTAAGGCTGAATATCACAGGCTCAGGTGCTAGGGTAGAGCATAGGGGATTCTGGATTTAATTTTTTTTTTTTTTTTTTAAGAGAAAGAGGAAACAAAACCAGTAGCTGATAGAGAGGTGGAGAAGGAAGTGAGCAGGGAGAAAAGGTGGAATGCAATAATCATTTAGGAGAGTGGGGAAGTAAACAGATTAAGGAAATGCAGAATGATTCCCAGGCAGTGTTGAGGACCCACTTGGCCTAAGTGATCCCAGATTTAAAGGCAGGCCAGTCAGCACTGTTTGAATGTTTTTCTCTACCCACACTAAACTCTCCAGACAGAGGTCGGCCAGCAGCAGAGAGCTGGCCTTGAACTGGGCTGTCGTGTGGTTAGAGCATAAGGCAGACCTAGAGAGGGGAAACTCCTAGAGAGAGTTCAGGATGTCCGCAAGGGAGTGATGTGACTGAGACTTTAGGCCAGGTAACAACAGGGGATCATGTAACCTATCCCCACCTACTACCCCAGACACCTCTAAGATGATAGAGTGTGCTAAAGTGACTTTGGGCTACCCCAAGCCAACGGTCATCCTAGCTAGCTAAGAGGGAAGTGAAGACACAGTAGGAGTGAAGGAAAAGAGAAGGAAGAGGAGCAGATCACTGGTCCCCGTAGGTTGAAGGGCTGTTTTTGGAGTACCGGCAAGAGTGATCTAGAAACACAGAAGACACGTGAGGAGAACAGGATGCTTGAGACTGAGACTAGAGGTTTCAGTTATCAGAAGTGAGCCAGTCTAAGGAGCGTACAGGGGGGAAGGACCACAATAGGATAAGAGACACGATGCTTAGAGAGAGAACGAGGGGCTAAGGGTGAGAGGATTACCCACATTAGGCTTCTCAACACATGAGCAGCCAAATTCCAGCATCCAAATTACATTTATTTCCCACCAACTGAAACAGGGTTTCTGGTGGGCACCATGCTCAGCATTTTCTTTAAAGCTACAAGGGTGATTTGTAGTGAAGTTCTCCAGATAGGAGCAGCAATAGAGCAGCTATGCAACGGCAGCTAGCATTTCCAACAACGGAGCAGAAGACCCGGGAGTCAAGGAGCAACAGCCGTGAGAGACAAAGCTAGATATTCTCAGGGCCGAGAGAAAATGGTCTGGAAGCTGCAGGGAGGAGCAGGGAGGTGCCCGCCCCACCTCTAGGCCCAGTGACCTGAGCAGTGTGGGAAGAAATGCCACCGTAGGAGAGCTCCCAGAGGCAACGGTGTCCTCAGAGAGTGAGCTGGTAGTGCTAAGTGGAAGAAGGCAGAAGGGGAAAGGAACACTCAGACTTGAGGATCAGGAAGCGGGAGATTTTGTTGAAGACAGCGAGTTGCACAGGACCCTCTATGGGGCAGCAGTGAGTCCAAAGAGGGTATAGGGGTCATGTGGTGATTATGGGTCCCCAGTGGACAGGCACAGATTCCTCGTGTAATCTGCAGGCTGAGTGCATCTGAAAATGCACTCCTTAAACAGAAACAAAACAAAAATGAATGATAAACCAAATGACACTCTACCTTCTGATACCCAAAATATGTTGACAGGTTTGGAGAAGATGTCCTTGCTCTTCGCCCAGCTGTTATTCCGCTGTTTAGTCCAGGCAGACACCACACAGTAATAATTGCCTCTGTCTTCCTCTGTAGTCCTTTGGATCCGGAAATTGAATGTGTCCGCGTGCTCCTTAGAAAAAATAAAATCTCCATCCTGGGCCCGTTGCTTGCTTCTCTCTCCATATCGTAGCGTCCAGTCCCCGTCCATGACGGCCAGCAGCTCGCTGGTCACCACGTCATCACTGCGCCGATTCATTCTGTAGTACCACGACACTGTGAAACGGATGTTGGCCTCTGCATTCTTCAAGTCCACTACCCGGCATTCCAGTTCCGTGGGCTCATCTGAAAACCCAGGGACCTTTGAGGCGTTCAGATAGACCTGATAGTCTGGTTCTGAACCGGAGAGAGGCCACGGGGGGGGGGGAATAAAAAATAAAAATTAGGGCCACATACCAAGAATGAGCATTAAGGAATGAGACAAGTACTCAGAATAAGCAAATTAAATTGTGTCCCCTACTGGCTATGAATGTGTCCCCTACTGGCTATCGGTCTGTGATTGGATGAGAAGGTGTCTGTAAGAGTATGTTTACAAAACTTGCAAAATACTTCCTCTTATATTTCCCCAAGAAAACTCCCAAGACCAAGTAGTCAAACGTCCTCCATCAGAACCCTAACCTTTGAAAAGGACTGGGGTCAGCTGCCTCTCCAGGAGGTTAAAACCTAAAGATCTCATAAGAAGCTCAGTGTCGGGGCTGGGGATGTGGCTCAAGCGGTAGCGCGCTCGCCTGGCATGTGTGCGGCCCGGGTTGGATCCTCAGCACCACATACCAACAAAGATGTTGTGTCCACCGAAAACTAAAAAATAAATATTAAAAATTCTCTCTCTCTCTCTCTCT